AAGATTTTCATGTGTAAACCTCTTTCGTTGTTGGTACCAGCTTTTCATCAACTCTTTCTTCTTCTTTTCCATATTTAATTTCTTCTTTTTCAACAAAATTGCAGTAGATACCAATAAAAGTAAATCATCATCCGACGACGATATAAAGACCGAACGCTACCTACACAAAATTTAAAATTGTGATTGACGTTTTTATTTGAATGTCACACAAGACACTGCTGAACACTGCTGGAGTCAATCGCTACTTTTGAACCGCTACTGCACCGACTCCTAGGTAAGTAGCTACTCTATTAACCCGTGGTAGTGCACATGGTAGTGCACATGGTAGTGCAGAGTCAAACCAGTCGGAAGACAGAGGGCGCCCACACATACGCAATGCTTGATGTATTTACTTGATTGTGTCCGTGGCGCTTTATGATTCACATTGAATTCTGAATATGACCTACTTATTTAAACTTTTCAAAAACACTGAATTCAAATTGGAGAAACTTTGAAAATCTCGTAAGTAGATACTTCTTCAAAATTGACTTGGATTCCGCACCGACTTTTCGTTATGTTGTTAGGTGCAAAGGTAAGTCGAAAACCCGGCAACTTAGTGATTTTGTAACCGAGTTTATCATAACGATCCCTAACCGCCAAAAAGACGTAAGCGACATTTTTTAAAAATTTTCGATTTGATGCAAAAAAAATTTCACTTACGTCTTTTTGGCAGTTAGGGCTCGATATATAGATTATTGTATAATTTGCTTAATAAAACAATTTTCTTAATAAATGCATTTTCAAGCTTTGCTTGATTTCCGCGCCGCCTTTTCGGCATCCAATTTACACCAAATTTTATCCCAGCTATTTTTAGGTGGAAAGGAAAAAATAGCCCTACATGTTTTAATTTCTAAGAACATCTCTATATGTACATATTTATTTGTGCCAATTATTAGAATAATTAGTTTTTTTTTTAATTTACTGTTTGCATTAACTCAATTCCTGCCAATTTTTTCTTGTCGTTGCTTTTGAATTATTCTGGGTTTTTAGTTAAATTTACGGAAAAAGTATTATTATTTTACATACATATGTATGTATCTGCTTTCGCGTAAGTTAAATAGTAAGTAAAATATTAATGGTGTATTATGGAACGAATTTCCGTCATCCCTTGTCAAATTTGGTTTGGAGACAAACCGGTTTCGGCGTTGTGCCATCTTCAGTGTCATTTTTCGTTCTGCATAATTTTTGTTGGTTGCTCGTATTTATACTCCTTGTTAACTACCT